AGGGGGCTGCTTTATTAATTTTTTTTTGATGAAAAAGGTAAAATTTATGTAACCACTTCTATTTTGTACCTGTTTTGTTTTTCCTAGGGGGGCATTGTGGATTAGCGCATGCCTGCCAGTGACTGACGAGCTAGCAATCACTTCATCCGGGCTCGAGTACTGAGGCAGCCGTCAAAGGTGGTTTTGGTTACACCTCGGTATACCAACCCTCGGGTAATATAGATAATGAGCCATGTTTGGAGACAACCATCTATTATGCATCACCTCCTCTCATCTGATAGCAAGCAAATACTCTGGTTAATAGCTGTGTGTTGCTATGGTTACTGGAGCATCCCCATCCATATACTCGTAGATACATTGCACGTGCATGAGGAGAGGGAGTGCTTTACCAAATTTATTCGAAATGCCTCCCCACCCCCTTTCTATTCATAACAGTTATGACCAAATTTATTCTGAGGACGCAAATATCGGATAAGTTAAATGGACTTTATTATAATACAAGTAGGAATAGAAAACAAAACAAAACAAAAATGTATTGTGGAGGACTTTCAAGCTAGTGATAGATGTACATTGCATTCTAAGTGTGCGTGAATTTGTGGTTTTAGAAATCTCGGGTAGGCTTTACAAAATGTTATTTTAGCCGAGTCTTTTAAGAATATTTCTTTTGATTGTTTGTTATCTTTTTATCCGTTTATTTCAGTTTCACAGAAACACTGAAATCGTGATCATCACGATGAAGCTATGTTTTTTAACGGCATTATGGTGTCATCTATAAAAACGAACTTTGAAGAATGTAAACAATTTTTTCGATGTACCATCCTGATCACGATTCAGAAAAGGCGAAATTGTTGGAAAGAAAGTTTTTACCTATTGTATTTATCTTTATTTCAGAAAACATCGCTAACGTCATCATAGGTACTTCCAATCCAACACAAAATGGTTGATTATCGTCGGTTTGGTATCTCTGGAAAATTGCGAAAAACATAGGTGTATTGCTGACTTTCATTTGCCCCAAGGAGGGACTCTTAAGACATCTTCAGCATCGGGAAACAGACAAGGTTACGGTAAATTAAGGCAAAAGGGCTTTTAGGACGCGGTACGTGTGGAGAATGATTGACGATTTGATAGAGGAAAGAAGAGTGGTGCACAAACAGAAATTGTTTGGAAGGGAACCTTATCGCTACAGATTCTACTTCTACGGTGCTTGCTGTCTGCACCTAAATAATATTGACGACATTAAAATTAAAAAAAATAAAAACATTGGGGGGGGGGGGAGGGGGAGGGGCTTACTATTTTCCCTTCTCTTTATAGGATAGCGGAACCATTATTGTGCGATGAAGATAAAGATTCTCCAATATTTGATTTTTTTTTCCACAAATATTATTGCCATGAGATTTTCTTCCTGGCAGGCAAGAATACCCCTTCGAAACTACAAATAATTTCAGCAGAAAGAATTACTATCATGGTATTTTAAAATCTCCACCCCATGCCCCCTCCCCCTTTCCGACAATTTACAATGATCCTGGATTCACCTCTGTGTAACTATATGACTAATTTCAAAGCCCCGGCGTAGAAGACAGTGGAACGTGAAATCCATGCATATACCTAACAGGCGCAAGCGTTGTATATCGTCCTACTCAATTTCACGGTCAATTGACAGATGTGGGTGGTTGCATGTGTTTCGTACGTAGCCTAAATATGTGAGCATTGGTAAGTTAATTAATTTCACGAACATTGACGGTGATTTAATGACTTTTTCAGTGGTGGTTTGGTCACTGCCCCATGTCGGAAAAGGGTAATTACCCCCCACCCCCCTTCTTCATTGTTTTCTAAACAGATGTGGAAGCAATATACTTCATCTATTGTGAGAGAAAGCGAACATGAGCATTGTGAAATGAAACATGATGAAGCATAATAGTATTACTAAACATTTTTAGGGGCACCCACCCGGATACCAACATTTTGTGAGGGAGCATACCCGAGCCAATTCCTTAGCTAGCTCACTTATTGCAGCCTTTGGAATTACATCGCTCCCTTTTTTTCCGATAGGCCAAACCTCTATTTTCACTTTCAATGTATTTACGCGGATTTTCACACGCTAATCTACGGTAGATGTGGACACATTTTTAGCACCTTTACTCTCGGTAAAAGGTACCGCTAACCGAGTACACACACTTTAACCCCGTCCGCCGCAGATGCGCTACAAATAACCCGCTAGATTTAACATTCAGGATCTGAAAGTCATCGGAGTTTAACCCGTAAGCCTGTGACACGACGGAAACATTTTGGAGGGGCGGGAATAACTTGAACGCTCGCAAGGTCGATCACGCACTTGGCTGCACTTGTAAGCAGACGACATACGATATTCACTGACGACCTCTGGGGTTGTTATCGATATTCGTTCGATACAAAGCACTTAATTGGTCGTCCTGTGTCGTCACAATGGTGTTGTTCAATGTCCTTTTATAGGATAAAATTTGTGCACGTAGGCACACATCTTAGACTTCTGTAACAGACTGCATGTTGATTGGGGTCGTTTTTATCATTCGCACCTAAGAAGATGAAGAAAAAAAATATAATCATGGTCTTAGTTAGCAACAGTTAAGTATACTCGAGCGAAAAAGCCTCTTAAATATTAAAGTGTCAAAAGTTTCTACAATCTTTAGCTTTCTTGGTGACAATAACACCAGGCCTGCTTGACATACAGAATTCAAACCTCGTTCCACATATTTAAAGGAGTTTAAAACATGAGACTTGATGGACGTGAGTCGAGTGAATGAGATGGAAAGCTCAGCTGATAAACAGAAACTGAAGCTGCAGCCACGTCTCTAGCCTGTTTTTATTAGGATCAATCCAAGACACAGGACGTAGCTGCAGCTATAGAAGATGAGAAATGTAGAACTAGAACAGACACCTAGGGAATTATCCATGTTAACCAAATGAGCCCAAATCGCAAGACAATAGTCGTCAAATCTCCAGTTTCACCATGTTTTGACATAGTAAATGTCGATTAATGCTAAAGGTACTATGATCACACTTGAAGACGCAGTGGAATAGTTTGGGTATATTCTACATCAAATCAAATGGCAGAATATTTCTCATGTTAGTGATACAGATATAATACAGAGAGGGTAAGCAGCATTAAATAATGATTCCCCTAAGACGGTGAAGTTGCTCTCTCGCATTTCATATACCCATTAAAACGGATGCACCCAAAACCAGTGCCCCTTTTGATGAAACACATGCAGGCTACGCCACCGCTACGTGATAGGGCAAGGATAGATAAGCGTTCTGGTCCAAGCCAAACTATGTTCAAGACATTTGATCATAATAATCATGGTTGCTCTCTCTCGCAGCTAATGATGAAGAGCCCTGTAGGGATGGGCATTGTCAATTGAAATAGAGAATGTCGTTGGTATTTTGACAAGGATTTATATGTAATGGCAGAAGCATGGCACGAAGGCTCATGATTGCACCATGCGGCTGGTATTAACTCCTATTACTTGGTCTGACTGGCATGCAAGGATGTACCTCAACCTGTCCCGAAAATCAATCTCTAATTCATTTTAGTAGACATGGATATAAGGACGTTTTGTCAGATGTTTTGATCAGTGTGGCCCCTCCCTCCTGGAGCATTCTGCATCTTATGTAATAAGACCTAAGTCTTTCTCTATAGATCTTCCCCCCCCCTCTCTCCCTCTTCCTTTCTCTCTCGTACACACAATAGTCATTACATGCACACAAGTCATACTTTTTCCAAATGTCCCTTTCGCGATCCTGTCCCCCCCCCCCCCTCTCTCTCTTTCTCTTTCTCTCTCTCTTTCTAAATTCTCCCCCTCCTCCTCTATCTTGTCCTCTCACTCTCTTTATCTGCTTCTCTCAACCCTTTCAATCCTCAATGCTTGTCATCAGGTTTTGGCTCGAACACAAATGCCTCACACAACCAGGCACCCACACCTCTGTATCACTTACATACGGGCTATCTAAAAAAACATATGTGATCCTGATGAAGATATGACATCAGACACTACCACCGAATCTCGACCCTGTCAAGTCGTTAATGAAATAGGCCAAGATGTGGTGATGCCTCTCTCTCTCTCTCTCTCTCTCTTTCTCTCTTTCTCTCTTTCTCTCTTCCTCTTTCATTTTCTTTCTCTCTCTCTCTCTCTCTCTCTCCCTCTTCCACTCTTTCTCAGCGTCGAGTTATCCACAGTGGAGCAACCTTATATAATTATTATGTACCGTTCCTGCTTACCCTACACTGTTAAAAATTTCACTGTAGAAATTACAGTAAATTACTGGCAACTTTGTTGCACAGTAAATTACTGTAACTTTGACATTACAGTAACTTCCTGTAAGTTTTTCAACAGTAACTTGCTGTAAGACATTAAAATACTGTAAGCTTACTGTAAAGAAATTTTCATGTATAAGGTTACAGTATTTATTGTAAGTTCTTCTTACAGTTAATTAATGTAATTTTATTCACAGTAATTTAAATGTATTTACAGTTATGTACTGTAAGTTTTTCTCTACAGTAAATTAATGTTATTTCTCTCATTTACATTAAGTTAATGTAATAATTACAGCTTTTCTACTGTGACTTTAGCAGTATCATCCTGTTAATTTTGTATCTATTTCTCTCATTTACATTAAGTTAATGTTATAAGTACAGCTTTTCTACTGTGACTTTAGCAGTATCATCCTGTTAATTTTGTATCTATTTCTCTCATTTACATTAAGTTAATGTAATAAGTACAGTATTCTACTGTGACATTAGCAGTATCATCCTGTTATTTTGTTATCTATTTCTCTCATTTACATTAAGTTAATGTATTAAGTACAGTATTCTACTGTGACATTAGCAGTATCATCCTGTTATTTTTTTTAATCTATTTCTCTCATTTACATTAAGTTAATGTAATAAGTACAGTATTCTAACTTGACATTAGCAGCATCATCCTGTTAATTTGAGGAAAAAACAAGCTTTCTGAACACAAAAATCATTATTAAAGTCTTTATTGGGTAATCAACGCTCCATAAAACAAGTTTCTCAAATAGTGTAACATTATGAAAATGCTTGCAAAGAAACTATCAAGTAAAACATTAAAACAAGTAAAACCACTAAAAACTGCAAAAGTTCAAGTACTCAAGAATCTACAGACCCATAGTCATCCTTCCAGTATCTCAAAAATTCTTGAAAAAATTGTTTAGATTATACCAATTCTGAAATACACATAACTTGCTTAATCCCAACCAATATGGCTTTAAAAAAAATCATTCACCCGACCTAGCATTAATTTAATTATACGACAGAATAACACATGCAATTGTGCAGACATAGCGGCTTTAAGGCATTGATATGCTAAATCACAACGTATGGCTTAGGGGCACTGCACTTTCTTGGGTCAAAAATTATTTGTCGAACAGACAACAATATGTTCACTTTAAAATTCTGAATTGTAAAAAACTATTGTAAAGAATTATCTTCAATTGTAAACAAGACATATTTTATACACTTTTATCTTCCTTTAAAGCCACTATTAAACGACAACTACTATCAGAATACAATCAATGAAAAGTCTCCATATACCTGGCAGAATCAAGGAAAACTCTCTATACCTGGTAGAATCTCTCCAAAAGACATTACTCACTTTATTTTTGTTTAATTTATCTTTTGAACTAATACCCCATTTAATTTGAGTTGCTCTGTTATATTAAACTTGTAATCTTTAATACGTGTTTCATATTCTTCTGTATTTTTGTCTCATTTACATGCCAATTCTGCACAGAAACTTGTTTCAACTTCATGAGCTGTCATTCAATTGATTGATTGATTGATTTATTGACGGTAAAAGCCCTATTCAGCTACTCGGCTGGTTTACAAAGGGGCTGTGCAAAATAACAAAAACCGTAAAACATACTTGACAATAAGAAAATATACATGATATACAGAAATTAATGAAATAGAATTACCAATGTGCACAATGAACAAAGAAAATAGAAAATATGATCAATTTGTGTACATGTAAAATGAAAACATAAAATTATGAAATTCGTTTAGCTACAATATTGCTACGTATTAAATATGATAAAAAAACATATTACCATATAACGTAACATATATCTTGGTACAATATGAGTGTTACTGCTGAGTTTTTATGCAAAGGCTCATCTTTTGGGAATGCTCTGCCATCATAAACATCACGTAGAATGGTCCTTTGTAAAGCAGGTTGAGCTTTATGAGTCTCTTTGTAATCTTTGATAAATGAGTTCTGCTTGAATAATGCTCTTAGTGTGTCTTGAATTTTAATGTATTGGCAAAATCGCTGTTTGCCAAACTGATCTTCTCCTAAATATATCTCAGTTGGGGAAACATAATCAAAAACTGCTTTAAAATGTGATTTTCTTGTAGACTCTGATCGAAATTCTTTACAATTTGAAGCACTGAACAAATCCTCAGATTTAAATAAAGTTAAAACGTTGGTAACCTCATCATCGGTAATTCCTATTCCTTCAAGTTTCTTTTTTAATTTTGGTATCAAATTTTGTTGGCTTAATGCATGAATATCCTGAACTGTGTCAATTATTTCCTGAATTGTAGAGTTGGGCAGTAGTAATTTTGCCTCCAACTTCAGATAAAACAAGGATAAGCTGTGTTTGAATGAGTCAGCGGATACATCTACTTCATCATCTGTCACACTTTCCTCGTCACTTGAGTGCAGTCTTCCAGGAAACTCCTGATTATTTTCTTGGGCGGATTCAGTTAACACAGTACCAGTTTCACTTGAAGTTGAGTCTAACTGAATCTGGTCTAACTTATTGTGAACTCTTGATATATGTGACGCAAAAGACGACCTCACTGAAAAACGTTTTTTGCAATTGGCAAAAAGACAGCGTATTTCAACTCCGTGTTTGATATGAATTCTAAGATGAGAAAGTATGTCATGGATTTCCTCACATTTTACAGCACAGAGTGGACAATTCCAGGTAGAAACGCAGAAAAACTGGGCATCTTTTTTTCTTGAAAATGGTTGATGATCCCTATGCACATGGGTTTTGAAGGATGAATAATTTCTGAATGTTCGATTGCAGCCAGGAACACCACACGGGAAATCGAAATTCACCACATTTCTATGGACTGAAAAGTGTTCAGAAAACCGCTTCAATGATCCAGAAGAATGATTACATAGCTTACAAACGTACATGGGTATATGATGTCCATGTAGAGCATCCGTCTGATTAGTGTTTCAGCATGCACACTGTGTGACTTCAGCAGTAATCCATGGCATACTGCAAGAAAGAAGAGCGGAAAACAATACCTTTAATATGCATACGTACACATAACTTTTTATGTACAGCATTGACAGATTAAAAGTTATTTAAATGATAAATGAATAATAAAAAAAAAGATAAAGGACAAAAAATACAAAAGAAAATCGAAAGAAAAACATAAATTCATCAAATATAACCAGTTGTCACGAGCCTCCTGATGATGACTGTATGCGAAACCTTCAGCAAAAAAACATTTGATTTCACGGCTATGAATGTTACTACATAAGTGAAATTAACATTCATTTGCGGTAAATGAAACTACAATAGAGTCTAGATTTCTGTAAAACAAATTTACAATCCTTAAAGACAAAAATTACTGTAATTTACTGTTAGTATTTGAAGAACCTACGGTAACAGCAATTTACTCTAAGAAATGCAGTGATTTACTGTAGGAAAGTTTACAGGCAGATACTTTGAGTAAAAATTGATGGTAACTTACTGTAGATATAACCTACAGTTACTGTAAATTAAAATTACAGTGAATTACAGTAGACAAGTACTCAAAATTAATATGAAATAAAATTACTGTAATTTACTGTAAACTAGCAGTAAGTTACTGTAAATTACAGTAATTTTACAGTAATTACTCAGTAATTTTACAGTAACTTACTGCCAGTTACGGAATGGCCTATTTGGTTGCTATGACAACGCTGCGACCTTCAAAAAAGTAAATTACAGTAATTTTAAAGTAACTTACTGTAAATTACTAAGTAACAGTAAAATACTAAGTAATTTTACAGTAACTTACTGTAATTTTATTTCATATTTTAACTTTTAAGTAAAATTACACTATGCAGCAGGATTGCCAGTACTTTGCTGTAATTTCTTCAGTAACGTGCTGTAGACTACACTACATGAGCTTAGACTTGTGCGTATTCAACTGATCACGCAGTGTGCTCATGATGGACTGATGCTGTAGTCGATCGTAGTGTGTGCGGTGTCCTATAAGTTATAAGTCTTGATGGTCTTGACGTTAGACATTTCCAATTTAACGTGAGCATGCATATCCATGTGCAATGGCATCGCATTGACAGTGACACTGTACGCTGGTACTGCAGTACAGTGTCATGTGCTGCACTAACACTACCGACTCTGTCCCACACCACAGCACAGCACGTACAGTACACATATACCGTAGACGGAACAATTACAAACACAATCCCTATACTTTCCACAGTCTGACAATTCTTCACTTCAGCGGGATACAAATCAAATCATGACTCTGATAATTGGCAATCTGTAACTTACCTCGGATCCCCTTGGAATTGACTTATTGGTCATCAATATCCCAGCTCGAGGATCAGGACCAGGAACAGAACAGATTCAGATTCGTTGCTCAGGATCAGGCCGGCGGCCAGCTCAGCTATATATCTCAGCTCAAATCTTTGCAGAAAATTAAAAATGGCGGCGCGGCGTGGCGGGCTAGCGCGGGAGCCAATCACGTGCAACGCATACGCGCATATGCAGCCGATCCGCCTAATGCGCATGTGCGCTGTATCCCACAATGCTTTTTGCACGCTCCTTTACACTAGCTTACTGTAGATATTTGTTCCCATGCTCTACGACACTGATGTTTACAGCAATATACTGTACAGCAACGTACTTATACAGTTAATTATCGTAAAATCGTTATTACAACATATTACTGTTGTAAATCACAGTATTTTACTGCATGAGTTACAGCAAATTTTTACAGTGTAGCTACAAGATTGTTTTTAGGAGAATCGGAGGAATATTTGCATTTACCTTGTAGAGGTGTTTTGGTCTCGTGCATATGAGGTCGCCGGACTGTAGATCACGGGTACGGGATTCAAATCATAACCCGGCAAGACATTAATGTACATTTGCCACTTCCCATCCGGGTGTACATGGGAACCCAGGAACGCTTTGAGCGTTAGTTACTTTAGCGGCTCAGCTGTAACCGCCATTAAAACAAAACAATCAGCGCCAGACGCGTCCCAGCGTAAAGGATATGCAAGTGCTAAATAAGACGCCACTGTATCCTTACATGCATAACCCTTTTCATCGGAAGTCATCGACTTAAAGTATAGGTCAGATTAAATTTAAAATTTCTTATCCTCCTTTATAGACTTCATTTCAGTGACCTTGAAAGTATCTTTGGATTCTAACTTATTTCTCAGTTTCTCCTTTCATGATACAATGGCAATATTGTTTATCCATCTTATATTGAGTTCTGGTGATTATCTAGTCAAATAAATAGAATTAAAAACAAGAACTTTGCTAAAAACAATGAAGCTTTATTGCAATCGTATATTTTATTACAATTCGGCAAGAACATTTTGACTTTTCCACTGCAGCCTCTCTTTTTTCCATATAATGTCGAACCATTCCGATAAATTACAGTTTACTCTTGGCCATTGAAATACTGTAAACACAATCTTGGCTGAGCTCGAAGCACACTCGTTAGAATCACATATATAAACAATCATGTCTCCGACCTGAATGAATTGCCACTTTCTTGTCTACATAATACCCGCTTTACTTTAATGGATTATGGCTAGTGATCTGGGACTAGTCTGCGAGTACAGGCCCTAGTTCGACATTCAAGGGAAGTGCCAGAAAAGTCTTGAGCCTAGCCTAATTCTTTCAGTCTCTGAACGTGTCACTCAAGGAACAGGTACACTTTTATACAGGACCTATGAGGCACAATTTTCAGCAGAATCTTCGTAGTCTCATATTTCAGACTCTTTTATTTACTACGACTGAATAGGGTTTGTGTCTGCAACACTATACATCTGGGACGTGGTGATGACACTCTTGAATCAGAGAACCATATACGTCTGTTACCGTTAATTAACATCGATGCCTGGCGGTGTGGCGCCCTTTGGGGTGAGAAAGATTCGGAGAGGGACGAGGAGGTTAAATTCGTTCTCGGAGATAAATGTTTCATCTTATACAAAAGACGAAATGGAAATTTAAAGAGACATTACGAATAGTAAAATTGTAAACAAGCTCTAATCTCACTGACTTGTGATTGCGACTCGCGTGGTCTTTTAATGCGCCAATGACATCGAACAAAAATTGACTACAAACTGAATTTAGTGCAAATATTTTCTTTAGATTACCAACTTTTGAAGTAATTGCCTTTGAAGGCTCGATTAGCACATGAACATCGCAACTAAAAAGACGTCATTTGCGCAACGGGCATAAGGATTATGGAGAAGAAGGATGGATAGAGGAAATGCATTTGCCGATGATCACATGTTTACATTTTAGTTTCTGATAATCATAAACATTACCGCAAGTACAAGGGGAATAATCAGCGTAGCTACAGGAGCATGGGGTACGCACCCCCCCCCCCCCTTCCCCCGAGTGGTTAATAGGTAATTATAAACAAAATAAGAAAAGAAAGTTTAGGGGAAAAGAGAAAAATACGAGAAAAAAACGCCTAGACCACCTCTCCCACCTTCCGCCTTATCAGTCAATTTGCATTTTATTTTCATAATAAGACAAGTGCCCCCACCCCCATCTTCCAAGCCCCCCCCCCCCCCCCTCCCTAATGGGGGCTATTATGATACTCCACTGAATTAGGTGATTGACATTGTACTGAAAGACAGGTGATATGGGTTCGAGGACCAATATCGAAACCTTATTTTTCTCACGTACAACAAATTAATTATTTATGAAGTACGATGTAATTCGGAAAGGGTTCTGAATATTTATAACAACAATCCTCGAGTGGCTTCATTCATCAGCGGTTCGGCTCGCAGGTGAGGCGCAAGGGCTCTGCCTCATTCCTATAAATGTGACGTTTTAGTAATATCATTTTTTAAGTTTCTGTGTGCGGGAGGGGCATATTAGATTGTTAGGGGTCGAGTTTCGTCTCTGTGCTCCTCTTACGGCGTAATAACAGGAACATGGATAGAGATCAATTTGTAATCTAGTCGTAATGATATGACGCTACAGTAGAAAGGTAATAACATGCAGTGATCGGGTTAATATATCACTGTCATAACGTAGGTCAGTTGATGGGAAAGCGCTATGTTTAAAAAAAATTGTATTTTATTATTAATGTTATGATCAATACTTTCATTGAATTAAACCCTAATTCTATTTGACAGAGATATCTAAAAATATATCGTTGCTGTCCGTACTACAGCTTTCCTTAACACTTTCACCGGTGTTTGTTTTTTTCATTAATAATATTATGCTATGCCTTGTTACCCCCTCCACATTGCCTCAATCGTCGCCTCATGAATAAAACCTTTAGCTCTGTACCGAATGTTTAATCTCTTGAGAGAATTGAGGTAATCGAAAAAGGCTTGCTATCGATCGGAGGCGTCTACTCCTAACGAAGCGTGCCTCCAAAATGGGTGACCTACGGGTTACACAATATGCATTATATAGGCTATATCAGATCATTAATAGTATAATAGCACGTACGACTAAGCACAGGTGATTTTAAGAGATACACACGCTAATGTTGTTTGAAAGGTTAAATGTGTCAATATTTATAAATGTTTATTGTGCAGAACCTTACAATTTATGGAAAAGAAGTTTACAACATTTTTTTTAATTTCCTACCCCCAACTCACCCCTCGCTCTCTTCCCTCCCCCCTCTCTCTCTCTCTTCCTCTCTCTCTCTCTTTCTCACACACACACACGCACACACAGACACACACACACTTTCTCTCTGCCTCTCCTCCTCTCTCTCTCTCTCACTTTCTCTCTCTCTCATTCTTTCTCTCTCTCTCTCTCTCTCTCTCTCTCCCATCTCGTTATCCTGTTCCCATCTTCCCCCTCTTATTCTTGCTCTCGATCCCTCTTTAACTCTCTCCCACACTTGTCTCCCTCACCACTTTTCTCTCTCTCTCTCTCTCTCTCCCCCTCTCTCTATCTCTTTCCCCTCCCTCCCTGAAGCAAACTTATCGGAAATCATAATCATGAAGCCGGCATTAATCTCATCACATCCTCCGCCTTGTCTGTGTATTCATTCCGCGTATTCGTTTTCATTTATCACATCGCATATTTTTCACACCATCATTCTGAAAACCTTGCTCTACATTAAACAAAACCATCTGCCCAGGCTCGATCAAAGTAGTTCATCATCTACTATTGATCAGCACATGATAAAACTTAACATGTTTACCCACATCATACACACACGCACAAAGCACACGCACTCATCACGCACATGCCAGCCCACGCTTGTTCAATAAACAAACTAGAATGACAGATATCATCCCGGGCATCGTAAATAATCAGGACATCATGGTAACAGATTACTCATGAATTATATATCGTATATTGATTCGGTTGAAAAAAGATTTCCTGTGTCCCAGGCGTGAATCCCAGGCCGCGTCAGATCTTGAGATAAAAACATGAATATCCTATTCTTGGGCGGCATGAACATCTGGTTCCTTTGGATATAAATTTTGTCTTTCATTGTATCCTCTTTTCTTTAATAATAATAATAATAATAATAGGCATTTCTATAGCGCCATCTATCTAGAAATTCTATTCCGAGGCGCATTTATTATTACCCCGGCATTAGCCTAGCTGTCATTACAGCGCTCAAGAATTTCAAGGAATTAATTCCTGCCAGGTACATTACCTGGGTTGAGTGTGGCAAATGTAGATCAATGTCTTGCCGAAGGATGACGATTTGATAATGATCGAAAAGAAAATCTGAAGTGAGTCTGGGAGAAAAGCCTATACTGCTGAACATGCACAACTCTATGGGAGGCCAGCCGGCGAACTTGCTCGGGCGGAGATGTTTGCCTATGACACCGGCATTTCTTCAATGTACATTGAAAGTGTGTGAACATAAAATAATGTATGAACTCGTGATTTTATATTCATTCTGAGACTGAGTGTGATTTTAGTTATCATTCTCAGCATCATCATCACTACCATCGTCACCATTGTCTTCATCGTCGTCTTCGTCGTCGTCATCATCAGCATTCATTTCCATTCCTTCACAGGCATGTCGAAATTATTTAGGTTTTTCAAACTTAATTACATAGATAGGTTAGGAAAATCTCTCGAAGTTGTCAGTAATTGAATGATTGTATAGGCAGATAAATACTATCATTTGTATAATTAGTCTAATCTTTTCATCATGGCCAATGAAATAATCATTAGAAGTATACAATTAAATGTGTATACTTTTCGCGCATTTAGTTACCCTCACTTCCTATTGATTTCTCATGTACATGACTGTAATCGTTGAATGTGTGATTTACTCGAAGTACAAGATGAAAAGTTTAGTAAGCCTCCGTCAAAGTTCTTTCTGATCATGTAGCACAAATCATTTCTTAAGGAAATAATCTCGTTTGATAAATAAATACATGTATAAACACTAAAAGAAAGTTGTTTAATATCTACTTAAGATGATACTCGATAACCTCGAGTGCAAAGCATGTCTCTGCTTTCTTCAATGATTACAGGACAAACATCAGGGGGGTGTTTCACAAAGACTAAGATCGACTTTAAGTTGGACTTAACTATGGCAGGCCATTCATGCCACTGATTGCTATCACCATTGGTCTCTCAATTATGATCTTTAAATAATATTTTTTCCTTCATTACTAAACTATCACAAAAAATGTAAATCCTGTAGATTTGTTACCATGAATTGTGTACGTCCTTTGAGAGGCCAATGCCAGTAAATGGTGAGAGCAAATATTGGCATGAATGGCCTGCCATAGTTAAGTCCAACTTAAAGTCGAT